CCTTTCGTGTGCCACTAAAAAGAGCTTAACCGAATGTTTTATTGTAGAAATAAAAGAGAACGAAAGAGTAGGCCAGTCGTTTTGTCCTTTATTAGCTATATTGGCTTACCGTTGATGTGGCAGTCCACTGGCGGTTACCTAGGCTGTTGACGTACAGCTACGAGTACAAATAGCTGAACTAAGCAACAACGAATATGTCCGTTAAAACTTCACGGATGAAGATGTCCACTGCGTGCTCTGTGCTGTGACTTGCGCGCGATATAGTTTATTGTGACGGCAGACTGACGCAGCACCTGTTACTCCGGTGGCAGGACAAGAACAGGACGATCAGATGCGAGCTCAAAAGCGGCGACGTAGCCCGTCTACACGTGCCACACACGGCCCGGGTTTGCGCATGGTAGGCCAGGTTTCCACAAAAAACAAGGAAATATGTATCCTGTTTCTTCTCAGGGGCGTTCCATAGGGGATCTATTTAGGGGACAACCCTTGTAGGCTGACGCTCATCCCTCCTGAGGACTGCGTTATCCCGTCATTTGATAGCCCGCCGAGCCAGGCACTTTCAGCTCATCGTGCTAGCTTCCTGGTGCGTCAATCTTGTGTGTTCGAGCATCGAGTTCCATGAAGCCAACCATATGCACCAACAAGTTGTTATAGTGACGCTGACTGACTGTAGATTAAAGTGATAGCGGACGTAGTTACGGCCAACCGTCCTCTTCACCTTCACCATGGCCCAAGAAGACCAGATTGGATCCGACTCTGGCCGCTTTCTCCCATGCAAGCCAAAAAAACACCGCCTAACTTTGTGTTAAGTGACAGTAGACTTTGCGCTGGTACTACTGCACAATTTACCTTCACTCACCTTCAGCAGGTGTCAAAAACAGGACGGATACGGCTACTTCTAATAGCTAGCAGTGTAGCTGCGCTTTAGTGGTACTGGTACTAACACTGACGCTCCCATTTGTCAGAGGTGACACCGATTACAGCCAACGCTAGTTTCATACCCCCTCGATGCCAACAAGGAGTGTGAATCGGGTTTAAACTATTCCGAGCAAGTACATTTTTGGGGCCCTGAGCACAACATAGCTTGCCTTGGTTTCCATCCTCTCAACTCTATCCATCAGGCTGTGTCCGTTTTACTAGGTTCAGACTACGATACTGCTTATGCTTAAGTGCTAATTCTAGTAATCGTGCTAGTTATCAGCGTCAGTCTTACTCTAGTGATGAATGCGTGGGCGTTGGAGTCAACCTCTCTCCCTCAGCCATGTACCAGCCCGCTGTCCAAACCGTTAAACCGTATACTACTAGAATTAGGTGCCCGTGGGTGATATTACTTACT